GCGATGACGACCCGGTTCAGACGGGGAAACTGAGGCAGAGGCGTCCCCACTGACCCCGCCGGGACGGCAGCGGAGGACATCTGCAGTTGATTTTGAGTGTGATGGCGAGTTGAATGGTGCCTCGCCTACAAACCCTCCCAACTTTAGAAAAATAAAGTCTCCCATTCCACCTCCGAGGAGAACTGACGGGTTGGGGTGGGCCACGGTTGCACCCCCGGAGTGGGGCAGGGACAGTCAGCAGACCTCCCCAGAAACTGCTTTCATTGTCTGACAATGCAGGCTTAAAGGGCTGGTGCTGGGGATCGAACCCAGGCCCTCGGAAGGCTCCGTTAATGCAAAACTAAAACGCAAAAAAGGGGGAGGCACAGTTAGGAGCGGGAGGGAGGTGCTAGGAAAAGCTCCAGGAAAGCTAAGGGTGAGCCCATCCTTGCAGTCTGCTCTGGAAGGGGACCTGGGTCAGGTACGAGCTTGCTGTTCAGAACCCTTTGGGCTTTGGAAACTGTGCAATATTTGGAGGGAATCCTTTTGGGTTTCTCTGTATAGCCCCCGGAACTCACTCTATAGACCAGGCTGGCCTCAAACTCATGGAGATCCTCGTGCAGAATTCTGCCTCCCGGGTGTTGGGATTAGAGGCGGCGTGCACCACCACTGCCAGAGAAGGGAGGGAATCTTAATTGAGAAAATGCCTCCATTAGATCCAGCTGTAAGACATTGTAGTAGTGATTGATGTGGGAGGGGCCCAGCCCATTGTGGGTGGGGCCATCACTGGGCTGGTGGCCCTGGGTTCCATAAGAAAACAGGCTGAGCAAGCAGGTCAGCAAGCAGCACCCATCCATGGCTTCTCCCACCAGCTCCTGCCTCCAGCTTCCTGCCCTGATTCCTGTTCTGACTTCCTTTGATGATGAACAACGATATGGAAGTATAAGCTGAATAAACCCCTTTTTTGCTTTTTGGTCGTGGTATTTCATCACAATAGTCATCCTAAGACGTCGTGTAAATTAAATATATTGAATTGGTAAGGTTAGGTTATTTTTTTGATAAGCTATATATTTGCAATTGAGGGGCAAACATAGTTTCTGCTCTTGGAGTTTATGGAGTTTCTTTTTCTTTTGGTTTTTCGAGACAGGGTTTCTCTGTGTAGCTTTGGAGCCTTTCCTGGCACTTGCTCTGTAGACCAGGCTGGCCTCGAACTCACAGAGATCAGCCTGCCTCTGCCTCCCAAGTGCTGGGATTAAACGCGTGCGCCACCAACACCCGGCCCAGGAAAGATTATTTCTACAATGAAGGAGTCTGTGACCTTTATAGGTTGGCTAAGGTGTGGCTTATTTAGTGATATTCTAGAGCAGGTCCGGTTTTAAATTGGCAGGCGTTAGAGAGCTGCTTATTTTTACATGTGTGTTGTTTTTTCACCTGCTTTACCTAATCTGATCCCTGAACATTCACTAGTCTGTCTCAACCCTGTAGGGAAACTTAATCAAGTGTTGACTTACTCATTGAGGCTCAGTTCAGTGAACTAATCTATTACTTCTGAATAGATTGGCAGTCCCGGGGTAGCAAGGGCAAGAGGACTACAGGTTCTACATGGTGCCATAGTTCTTACGGGATCACACCTATGGAGAGAGAGACCCGCACAAACCAAGAGAATGCCGGTCAGGGTGAGGATTGACCCTCCTTGGCCTGTGTATAAGAGAAGCCTGCCTGGTGATACGCACGGATGGACCCTCATCTGGTATCGAAGGGAACCCTTTAGTAAACTATCTGTCCGAGTGGGTGAAAGGGGGAAGGAATGGTTAGCGGACTTCCTGGTTATTCCAGAGACAGAGCCCTGCAGAGGAGGGGGCTAGGGAAGACGGGCAGGAACAAGGGGATGGTCTGCGTTAACATCAGGGTGCTTCATGGTTGTTAATGGAGCAGTGCCGAGGGAGTTCTTAGGGGGCTGAAATAGAACCATTGTATTCTAGGACTGGACATTTCTCCTCTGGATGCTAAGTCAGGGACAGTTTCAGAACAAGGTGCTCTCCCAGTCTTCTGTACTGTGTTCCCCAGTGGCAGCCAGGCTGTTTCCCCTCAAGTGGAATATGGAATGCTTCCTCTAAAACAGCTACTGAATCTGGGAATGGTCAGTGAATGAGGATGGTATCCCTGAAGATCCCCCCCACCACACTAGTCCTTAGACCTGCACATTCTCCATTGAAGAGTTTGCGTGCTGTGGTGGATATGTAGAGGTCAGGACAACTTCAGGAGTTCTCTGCTCCACTGTGGGCCCCGGTAAGAGATGATCACACACAGAAATGAATCGGGAAACAGACCCGAATCTCAGAAGACGGTCACTTCTTTCCCTACAAGTTTATGATTAGATAGGTCTGCCAGGAAGTGTGACGAGTGGGAACCAGAGCTTTGTTTCTGTCTTCTACAGACCCTCAAGCCGTTGCTGTGGGTAAGTGGGGACCTAGGGTCAAGGAATTTGGTTGGTAGACTTTGCAAAGTGGGCATCCATGTGCGTATGGGTGCCTGCAGGGGCCACAAGAGGGCACTGAATCCGGATTTGGAGTTAAGAGCTCTCTCTAATCCCCATTTTATTTTATTTCCTTATGTCTTGACTGGAAGTTCAACATCAACTGTCGTGTCAGTTTCCTGGAGACTAATGCTAAAGGAACATTATGTCTGTCTGTCTGATGACAGATTTAAAGAGTTAAAGTCTCAATGAGGCAGTGTGCTAGTCTGAACAAGCAAGATGAAAATGAACAGAAACCAGTGTCAGGTCCTCCATATGAATTCACATTTACCAACTCGTCATAGTAATTTGGGGGAAGGAAGGATGGAGAAACAAGAGTTATTTCTCAGGCCGAGGACACTGTGGCAGTGTACTGGAGCGCCATGAAAGTCAGACCCACACATCAGTCGGTAGCCATGCCTAGAACTGGGAAAGTGGTCCATGACTTGACTTTGTAGACCAATTTAAATTGATTTTCTTAAATAACAGCTATCACAATAAACACAGGCCCTGGGGACTCAGGTAAAATGGCTGGGAACAGAGGGCCAGGAATAGTGACTTGGAGGCTACTTCACAGCTGTGTGTAGAAGGAGATTGGAGATTTCCTGATGGACTCGGGGCAGAACCAGGGCCAGCTAGAAGAATTTCCAGAGAAAGGGATGCTAAGCTGGGCATTTAAAAAGCCGAGACCTGTCTTACTTGTGTGATGGATGGATGCCAGTGTTGAAGACAAACCGATGGGAATGGGATGGTAGAAGTGGATGACTGACCGACCGTTCAGGGCTGTGGTAGCCTGAGAATTCATATCAACTCTTCCTTATTTTAAGTGATTATTTTATGTGTATGCCTGGTGCCTGGGGGTGGGGGCAAGAGGTAACACTATAGCAGAAGAGGGCATCGGGTCCCCTGCAGCTGGGAATTGTGGATGGGTTATGAGCCACCATGTGTCTGTTGGGAAGACAAACCTGGAAGAACAGCCGTGCTCTCAGCCACTGAGCTCTGTCTCCAGTCCTCCGTGGTTAAGTGTTGCCTTTTTCTCTCTGGTGGCTCCCTGTGGCCGCTGAGGAGGGAGAAAACAGTGGATGAACAGTTGAGGCTCCTCAGATGTCTGCTTCCCTAAGTCAGGGCCTGCGTGCTGCTGGTTGGTAAGACGGTGAAGAGCCTCCCTGTCTATCATAGTGACTGACTGTCTCTCACGTTGCCTCTGTCTTTCAGGTGACTATAGGACGAGGATTTGGTGTCACCTACCAACTGATGTCAAAGGTATGCCCTCTGATGATTTCCCGGAACCACTGTGTTTTGAAGCAGAACCCTGAGGGACAGTGGACAATCATGGACAACAAGGTACTGGAGCCCATGCGAGCCTGATGGCTCTAGTGAGGGTTATGTACTTGATTTATTTATTTTTGGTTTTTTGAGACAGGGTTTCTCTCTGACTGGAACTCACTCTGTAGGCCAGGTTGGCTTCCAACTCCCAGAGATCTGCCTGCTGCACATCTTTAATCCCAGAAAAATTTACTTTTCTTGACACCTGATAGTTGTTCTCATATAATATTCAGAAGTGTAGCCACGCCCACCTGTTCTCTTTCTAAGTGCGGCACTTCTGTGTGCTGCAGGAAGTTAGATTGTGCAAGATGATTGCTAGTGACCTGGAGCGAGGGCTAAACCGCCAAGAGAGAGTCTAGAGTGGAGCTGTGGCTCCTTTTCCAAAAATTAGACTATATTTCTGGAGAAATTAGCCCCTTTGAAAGGCAGCAGTCAAAGATTCTGGGAATCTGCCTAAGCTTATGGGGGACGGGAGACCTGGGGCAGAGAGAGAGAACCCCTGCAATGCACTGCTTTTTGCCTTCAGTACACACACACAGACCTCCACACATCTCCATACAAATACACGTGCACACACTACACACACCCGCAAACTTATACACACATCTACATACACAAGACACTCCTACATGTACCCCCCCACATACACGGACACACCCCTACACACATACACACCCAGGTCTCCATACACACCCCTACACACAGACACACACACTCTCCTCCACACACATACACCTACACCTATACACACACCACACATATCTACATACACACCCCTGCACACAGACACACCTATATGCACCCCCCACACACACACACTCTTTCTCCTCCACACACACACACATCTGCATACACACCCCTAAACACAGACACACCTACACACCTATACACCTACCTCTTCACACACACCTACATATACATACATATACACACCCCTACACACACACAAATACACACACATTTTCTCTCCTCCACACATACACAAACCCCAATGTAAACTCTCTCTCTCTCTCTCTCTCTCTCTCTCTCTCTCTCTCTCACACACACACACACACACACACACACACACACACAAACACACACGCGCCTTTAAAATAAACCCGCTTGGGGCTGGAGAGATGGCTCAGAGGTTAGGATCCCCAGCACCCACATGCAGCTCACAACTGTCTATACCTCCAATTCCAGGGGACCCGATACAGACATACATTCAGGCAAAACACTAATGCTCATAAAATAAAAAACAACACAAAACAAAAAACCTGCTTAACTGTTCGTGTTCTCAGAAACATTTTACTTTGAATAAAGGCTTTTAATATCTTTTTAGATTTATTTTATTATTGTATTACTTACTTGCATGTGTGTCTGTGTGTATTGTATGCACATTTGTGCACAGGTGCTTAAGGCCAGAAGAGAGGTTTGGGTTCCTCAGAGCTGGAGTTACCCACAGGCGCTTGTGAGATGCCCCACATGGGTGCTGGGAATTGCTCTAGGGTTCTCTGGAAAAGGAGCAATGCTGAGTCATCGTTTGTTCCCTTTAAATGAAATTTAAAGTTGCCAGTCCAGTGGGAAATATACAGAGTCCAGCAGTTAGGAAGCCCCTAAAGTGCAGATGTCCAGGCACCCAGGGATACAATGGAAGTAGACCATGGGATGGGGGCCTTTATTTTTAATGGGGGTCTTGTTATGTGGTGTAGACCAGCCTCAAACTCATCTGACACTCGGTGATTTCTACCTCTGTGCTGTAGAATCTGGCATCTCAAGCCCTATGAGTGTATTTTGTGACTAAGTCTCACTGCTTGGAGTAGTAGTTCTGCAGGTCTGCTGGCATTAGCAACAACCAGAGTGGCCCTGACTTCTGTTTGCTGTTCTAGCCCTTACCCGGCAGACTTGGCTTTTATGTGTGTGGGAACTCTGTCTCTGTATTAAATGTCTGTGTACGACATGCATGCAGAGCCTGGGGAAAGCCAGAGGGAATCAGAGTCCCTGGAACTGGAGTTACAGATGGTTGTGAAACTCCTTATATGTGCTGGGAATTGAACCTGGATCCTCTGCCAGAGCAGCCAGTGCTCTAACCCGTGGGCCACCTCTCTAGCTCTGGCCGAGGACATGGTTCAGTAGGTAAAGCACTGGCCACACAAGCTCGAAGACTAGAATTTGGCTCCCAAAGCCATGTAAAAGGCATCCGAAGTATCGAGTGTCTGTGGTCCCTGTGCTCCTATAGCAAGTTGGCAGGGAGAGACCGCCTCACACCGAAGTGGGGTGGGGGTAGGGGGATGATGACAGGAGGACCCCAGAGCAGCAGGTATGAAACTGTCTCACACCAAAGCGGGGGAGGGGGGCTGCACATGACTTAGACACATTCAGTGGTAGTATAATAAAATTAAGGGTTTCTATTCTTCAAAAGATAGCAGTAAGACAAGCACAACCCAGAGTGGAAGTGTTTGCTGTGCACATAACTGATGAAATATGATCATGTACGTACAGAGAGCTTCAAATCAGATTTTTTAAAAAGACAGATATAACCCAGTTTCTAAAACAGACTAAAAGACAGGCACATCACAAAAGAGTGTACCAAATTCTACTCTATAGCCACGAGAAGTTGTTGGAACTCAGTGATGAGGGAAATGCAAATCAAAACCACGAGGGAATACACTGGCTAGGATAAGGAATGAGTACAAGCATCTTTCCTCTTTGGAGGGAAGGTAACTTGACACACCTACTTTGAAATCCATAACTCATTCAGTTGTACATTTTATGTTTAGAGCTCATTTCTGTCTCTAGGAAGGAAACACTTGCAATGCCCACCCACGGTAGACTGTATAGAAGAAAGAGTATTTCTGCAATCAACACTGCTGTATTGAACATGGGTACTTCTTACAGACATGATACTGAGTGAAAAGGCTTCCCAGCAAGTTGCCAGGCATGCTAATATGTGCCCGTAGTCCCAAAATTTGGGAGGGTAGAGCAGGAGATTCCGTGCCAACCTGGGCTGTGTAGCCAGACTGTCCCAAAGAAACAAAGTAGGTGAGTTCAAATGTGACCAGCTGTGTGTGGCAGTGTGTCTTTAATGGTAGAGCTGGGGAAGTGGGTAGAGATGAGAGCTCACTGTCCATCAGTCCAGCCTGATTGCTGACCTCCAAGCAGTCAGAGACCTTGCTCTTTTACCTCTACATTTCCCTGAGATCAGTTCCCAGCACCCGCCCCAGGTGCCTGGCATCATCCACTTATAACTCCAGCTGTAGGGCTCCTCGGCCTCTGTGGGCTCTTGGCACTCAAATGCACACACACACACAGAGAGAGAGAGAGAGAGAGAGAGAGAGAGAGGAGAGAGAATGAATTTAAAATAATAAATCTTTTTAAAAAATGAAGTCAGGTATGGTGGTACATGCTTTTAATGCCAGCACTGGGAAGGCAGAAGCGGGCATATCTTTGTGAATTTCAGCCCAGTCCCAGGCCAGCCAGAGCTACGCGGTGAGACCCTGTCTCACAAAAAGCAAAACAAAAGTAACAGCAAGGGAGAATGGTGCTGGAGAGATGCCTCAGTGGCTAAGAGCACTTCCTGCTCTTGCAGAGGACCCAGGTTCAGTTTTGAGCTTGTACATGGTGGCTCACAACTGTTCTCAGCTCTGCTTCTGGGAGGTCTGCTGCTGTCTTGTGGCCTCCACAGGCACCGGTGTACACACAGCACACAGACACACATGGAGGCAGAATTATGCACACATCAAGTGTGGTAGAGAGCGTAGGAGGAAGGGGGGATCACTGGAGCTGCTCTCTGGCCTCATATACACACACACCCACCCAACAGCAGGAAAGCTAGACAGATGGGATGTCATTTAAATCATGTTCAGAACAAGGTGAAATGATTGCTCCAGCAGGGTGCTAGTTCCCTAATGAGGGAAGGAGGGGCCGGTTTCTTGGATGCTGCGATGTGCTTCTTAAAACCATGTTGTAAATGGCGCTGAGACGCCACGTTCACTTTGTGGATGATTCATCCAGTTGTACGTTTATGATTTTCCCTTTACATGTGCATATTGTGTTTTGTTAAAGACATTTAGAATATTGATCAGTACTTTCCTCAGATTACCAAACTAAAACGCAGTGTAAATGTCCGTGTTGGTTTCGGTTCTGAAGTGAGTTTAATCTCTGCCCTCTCCCCCGAAGTTGAGTCCTGCCGATGTCTTGTTCCCTCTAAAGCTCGTCTTAGGACTTGTCATCTCCATTTAGCTGTCCCGTCTCCACATGGTAACCATTATAGACTGTGCCACAGGAGTCCACATTTAGGTGTGTCCTCGAATTGTCCTCCCCACAAATAGCTGCTAAAAATCTGCCCCTGGCTATTTTGTCCTTGGTGTCTTCACCTGGTAAGATGCCAAGCACTGAAGTGAAGTGGCCTGTTGTCAGTCGTGCCCAGTAGTGTTCTGAGTTCATGACACATGTGAAGTTCTCACCGGGATCCCCAGAAAGGTCGTCATCTTTACAGACACAGTAACCAACCCCAAAGCAAGCAAAGTGTGACTCAGCTGTTGGCAATGGAGACACATTGCAGACGCATGCAGTCCAATCCGAGGTGCACCTTCTTTATCATCTTCAGTGCTGGGGACCGAACCAGAGAGCTGCATCCTCCTCCCTGTCCGTGCTCTTAATGTAGCTTCATTAAAACAAGCTAGGTAGTAGAGATTTAAGATACTTGGGTGTCGTGCTCTGCATTTTATAGCTTGGGATAGGTAGATACTAGACTTCCCCATTTTAGAGACAAGTGAAATGGGATTGCAAAAGGCAAGTAACTGATGAGCCCAAGGTGTTGCATTTAGTCTGCAAGCTCAAGTCTAGGCTCCAGCTCTGTTTGCAACACTGTAATACTCGCAGAGGGCTATGGTGACACTGGGTCAGGTGCCATCTCCCCTTTGACCCTCCCAGCACAAAGGATTGGCTTTTGCACACTGGGAAGTGCTATACTTGTATGGTGTGTTGGGGGCCCACGTGCAGAACGTGGGTGACTCCGGGCTAAGCCTGCCTTGTGGTTCGAATTCTTTCCATTCTTGAAACATTGCCTGGAGTTCAGGTCAATAGGAGTGATTGAGTTTCAGTGTTCTTGAGTGCGTTGCGTGCTTTGAGTAAGGTGATTCTTGCCTGTTACACAGGCAGCCCTCTGTGGAGGCATGAATGTAAAATATAGGTAGAAAGCCAAAGCACTGTGTGCTCAGTGCTCTTTCCAAAGATGGTGGTTTATGAACCTTTCATTTCTGTTTGCTCTCAAGGGTTTTCCTTCTGAAAAGGCAGAAGGTTTTGTAGCAGCAAGAGAGAAATTCCATTAAGAGGAGGGAAATCAGGAGCTTATTTTGTTTTTCTTTCCTTTTCCCTAGAGTCTGAATGGTGTTTGGCTGAACAGAGAGCGTCTGGCACCATTACAGGTTTATTGCATCCAAAAGGGAGACCATATTCAGCTTGGAGTGCCACTGGAAAATAAGGAGAATGCGGAGTATGAATATGAAGTTATTGAAGAAGACTGGGAGAGGCTGTCTCCCTGCCTTGCCTTAAAGAATGACCAGACAGGGGGGAAATATAAAGACTTGAGAACTAAAAGGAAGTTCAATTTGGATGGATTAGAACATCCCGCTGCTGAAGGCCCCTCAGATCTCAAGTGCAAAGTAACTGCAGCCTCTTGTGATGCCGCTGAGCCAGTGAAGTTACTTGGGAAAGGTGAAGCAGCAAGTCAGCCCTTGGGATGTTTGTGTCCTAAGTTGACTTGTCTTGAGGCAAGTGACGAGGCCACTGGGACTCATGCTTGCCCTACTCTTCCAAAGGTCATCGAACGCTACCCTAAGAAGCAGAAGGCCTCCCACCCCTCAGCGTCTCAGAGCAGCCTTGAGCTGTTTAAGGTGAACATGTCCAGGATTCTGAAGCTGAAAACCCAGATGCACGAGAAGCAGATGGCTGTCCTGAGCGTGAGGAGGCAGACCCGAAAGGGGAGCTCGAAGAAGATCGTGAGGATGGAGAAGGAGCTGCAGGATTTACAGTCTCAGCTTTATTCGGAGCAGGCTCAGCAGCAAGCCCGAGTGGAGCAGCTGGAGAAGACCTTCCAGGAAGAGGAGCATCACCTCCAGGTACCACAGAGATGTAGCAGGCAGAGGTCCCCTCAGCTGGGCAGGCGCGTTGTGAACTTCTGGCTAGAGTTGTCTCTGAAGCAGGGACCAGATGCTAAACTTTGGAGACAGAGTGGGAGCAGAAAGCCAAGACAGAGTTTTGCAAAGGTTTACAGTTTCAGCACACAGATGAGGTCAGGAGCCAGTTAGGGTACCAAGATGAGGAAGGTGGCTCAGAAGCCAGCTGGGATGTGACTGATCTCTGATGGAAAGCTGAGGTGTTTCAGATCCAAGATAAATTCAGGGAAAAGCTGGATAAAGAGCAGGATACCACGAAACCGTAATGTCCTCAGGACTCATTGCTTTGCTCTATGTAGTTAAAACCAAGTCACAGACCAGAGCAAGTGCAGATCAGCTCATTGTACTGTCCTTGTACATGGCAGCTTGTTGGCTGTAAGACTGACTAGCTAACAGGGGTGGGGTGAGGAGATGTTGCTCTTGGTTTCTTTCGTCTAGTCCCTCAACCGATTTGCCCCAAAATAAACACACAGATGTTATATTAATTATAAAACTGTTGGCCAATGGCTAGGGCTTCTTATTGGCTAGCGATGTCTTAATTACTAACCCATTTCTATTAATCTAAGTATTTCCACGTGGTCTTATCTTACCAGAGAAGGGTCCGGACCTCTTAACTCCTTTGGTGATTACATGTGATCTCCTAGTGGGATTTCTCTGCCTACCTTTCCCAGAATTCTCCTTGTCTCCTAGTCCCGCCCATCTCCCTGCCTCTATTGGCCACAATGTTTTATTCATCAACCAATAAGAGAAAACATATCCAGAAGGACATCCTCCATCAGGGGGATGATGGTTTTGTTCCTATTTTGGTCAGTCAGAATGCCATGGAAAGGTACACAATCGGCTGAGTGATAAGATGTATCTGAGTGGTTCGGAGAAAGGACCACGAATGTGCTCATCTCCAAATAATCCTGTCCCTGTTTAAAATGTCACTTCCTGTGTGGCAGGAGCCTTATCAGTTGTTTAGGTAATGGTGAGTGTCAATTCCCTACTGCCGACTTAGAACCAAGAAGGATCAGTACAGCTGAGGTGAAAGGTGTTTTTATCCTGCTTGGGTCTCTCTGGGCAAGGAACAGCCTGTAATAGTGTGAGCTTATTTCTGGAGAATTTATAAATTTCATTCTAATCTCTGCCATCCCCTTGAACTGGTCGGATTAGCTAAAGCCATTGGCTATATAGGTGTGTTCAGGTCATGTGTGGTGGACGTGCTTGGCTTCTGTTTCCCTGTCTGCTTTGTGCCTAGAGTTAACATGCGTGGCGTGGCTACACTGTGGGCTAAAGATACAGCTTCGAAGTCTTTTTTTTTTTTTTTTTTTTTTTTTGGAGCAGACGGATAAAGACGGGGAGACTGGTTTAGCGATTTTTTTTTTTTTTTTTTTTGCCTGACTTCGAGAAGCAAATTGGGTTCTTTGTGTCAGCTGCATCTCCCTCTGCCCTGGGTGTAGCCTGGCCTGTCACCATTCCAGAAGCTGTTGCCCCCTGCTTCATGCTTGGTGTTTGGAGCACCATATTGCCTGACACTCTATTTGGAATTCTGCTTGGTATTAAAATGCTTAGTTTTTTTGTTTTTTGTTTTTTGTTTTTTTAGGTGGTTTTTTGAGGTAGGATTGCTCTGTGACTTTGGAGGCTGTCTTGGAACTCGCTCTTTGTAGACCAGGCTGGTCTCGAACTCACAGAGACCCGCCTGCCTCTGCTCCCGACTTAGTGTTGTTTTTAATCGTTGTAATTTATCTTGTTGAGACAATATATGCGGTAACATTGGAAAAATGGTTTTCAGGGTGGTGCATTAAATTATGAACGATTCAAAATCTCCCACCCTGTAGGTAATCCCTAAGGCAGAGAGAACACAGGCTGTGTGGAAGAAGCTGGCCACAGATGAGTGGCAGTTTGAATGGCTGCAGAGGAAAGTTGACAGAGGTTCAGGCTAGGGCAGAGAGAAAGTGGCTTGTGGAGTGTGGTCAGTGTGGAGAGACAGAGCATGGAAACGTGGTGGGTGCCGGCCTGGGGGGTTGCACTTGTGGCTCAGTTTTAGCCATTTGAGTATCATGGCATTAGGTAATAGAAGAAGCTTAAACTGTCACCCAGTGGTCTTCAAGGCCACTCGGCTGGTGGCTTGAAGGTGACATCCCTGAGCATGCAGTGCTTGAGCAAGTAACACTGTTCAGAGCCTTTGCTGACAACAGCTTGAAGGAAAATGGGGATTTTTCTGTCGCTCCCTGCCCCATGCTGTTCCTTGTCACATCTGCTTCTTGCAGGATTTTGTTCCCTTTCCCTGTCGACTGCAGGGAAACCTTCATCTTGTTTTGGCTTTTCAGGGTTTGGAGAAAGAGCAAGGAGAAGAGGACCTGAAGCAGCAGCTGGTCCAGGCTCTGCAGGAGGTAACCTAAATCTCTCCCATTTCCAGAGGCTGTGGTAGTTGGCGAGTGGGGAATGGCAGGCATCACTGGCCACTAGCTGCCTCCACCTCTTAACCTACTGCTCTGTGATCTCCAGCCTGCAAACAGAACAGGTAGCAGATGCTCTCACCATCAGCTTGGAGACTTGTAGCCTCACAGATACACACCAGATCTCAGCATGGAAACACAGGTCTTCTTCATCAAGCAGGAGCCACTCTGGTGATGACGGAACACCCTGTAGAAACTGGGGAGCTCTCTGGAATAGTGAGGACAACTGAGGGGAGGGGAGATGTTAGCTAAGGTCTGGGCCTGAGGGCCTTTGTACCTCACTATCCCTGCACTGTGGCATCCAGAAACCATTCAAGAGTGTTCCAGTCGAGCATTTTAGGTCAGTTTGAGAATGTCAGTCTAAAGCAAAAAACATCCACTTGACAAAATAGTGACACAGCATCAAGTCCCCTAGAAGACTGCTTGTAATTTGTTGTTGGACACTGTGGCTGCTTTTGTATGGCTACCTCTTATGTGCTGTTGTGTATCTTTAAAACTTGCTTCAGCTGGACGTAGTGGCACACACCTTTAATCCCAGCACTTGGAAGCAGAAGCAGGGGAATATTTATGAGTGTGAGTTCAAGGTCAGCCTAATCTACAGATCGAGACCCTGTCTCAAAAACAGACAACAGCAACAACAACAACAAAAACGCTTGCTTCATCTTTGAGCTTTGATTATGATGAGTAGTTTGCTGCAAGTTTAACCGAAAGGTTCACGACATGATGGTTAACCCTCCTTGAGCACACTGAGCATCAGCTTTGCGAACAGACTTGCTCAGGGCGCATCTTTCTATTTGCTTATTGCAGATCTGTGCCTCAGCCTTGTCGCTGCTAACAGATATGTGAGAAGGAGCCTGCCTTGATTTCCCTGTGGGGAGGTGCACAGATAGCTTTGGAAATCATTAGGTGAAAATTATATCTTTGGAATTTTATTTTTTGAGCTTATCTATAGGCATTGTTCCCATTTGAGTATTTAAATGTTGTTTATTTGTTTGTGTTTTTTACTTAGTGTGTGAATGCACACAAGCACTCCCCTGTGGGGCTGGAGTCTGGTCGCCAGCACTTACACTAGGCAGCTCACAACCCCTGTAACTAGCTCCAGAGACGGGGCAGCCTCTCTTGGCCTCCCACGGTACCCGTACATATGTGGCTTAAACTCATACAAACACGCTAAATAAGAAATAAATGAGCACATTTTTAAAAAGAATTGGGTGTGTGGGGGGTGCTCATGCTTCACAGTGTGTATGAAGGACAGCTTTCGGCAGTTGGTTTCTCCTCCATGTGGAGTCCAGGAATCAAACTCAGTCACCAGGCTTGCATTGCAGATGCCTGTACCTCCTGAGCCTCCTCGGTTCTCTTCCTCCCTCCTCCCCTCCCCTTCCTCCTCCCCTCCCCTCCCCCCTCCCTCCCTCTCTCCCTCTCTCTCTTCCTGTGCTCTTCCTTGCTGGCTCAGTATCAAGCCTAGGCCTTCATGCACACAAAGTATGTACTCTGTGCCTGGGTCACATCCCAACCCATAAATTACATTGACATTTGTTGTAAGGAGTCAAGTCACAGTATGTCAACTGTTGGCACTTGGGCATGCCAGCTTGTAGCAGACCCTGGCCAGGTTAGTTCCGAAGGACTAACAGATTGCTTCCCCCCTCCCCCTTCTGAATGAAGGAAGGCTGTCTTTGAAATTGTCATCACTGGTCCCTAAACCAAAGTCACTGACCAGAGAGAGGGAGGAAGCAAAGGTGTGTGGCTAATAAGAGGGTTGTTACGCAGCTCACCCTGATGGCTTCCCTGCTGTCTCTGCAGCATCGGGCTCTAATGGAAGAGCTAAATCGCAGCAAGAAGGACTTTGAGAAAATCATTCAAGCCAAGAACAAAGAATTGGAGCAGACCAAGGTACTGGACAGAGGAGGGAGGCTTAGGACTTGCTCGGCACTCACAAGAGTGCACGGATGCTATGGTGAATAAAGACAGATGGCTATTCCCTACCTCGGGGAGATGACCTATACGTCATCTCCTACAGAGAAACCGCTGTCTGTGCGGCACCTGCTTCCTTCCTTGTTCAGAAGCTGTGTACTGGGACCTGCGTCCTGGCCTCTGTGAGGCTCTCTTTCAGGACGTGTCTCCCCCATCAAATCCACAGAACTCTGTCTGTTTTGTTTCGTTTCTCAAGGTGGTTTCTTCCTACAGCTCTGGTTGTCCCAAAACTTGCTCTGGAGACCAGGCTGGCCTCGAACTCACAGAGCTCCGTCTGCCTCTGCCTCCTGAGTGCTGGGATTAAAGGTGTGCGCCACCACCGCCCAGCAGAGCTCTTAAATTGTCAGTTACAAACAAATGCCTACCAGAGCCAGACCAGTAATGAAGGTGAGTGAAGCAGCCGAGCATGAGTGCTGGAGGGGCTGTAGGCCGGCTGCTTCCTGACTCCTCCAGAAGACAGCACTTTTCTTCTCAGTCAGAAATAAAGCCCAGTCTTGTCAGATCCGATTGCTTCATAATCGGCAGAAATCCAGAGGTTTGAGGGAAATACCTCAATTTTCAAATATTGTCAACACGTCTTTTAAGCTTGTGTAATCATAAAATACATATTTATGAGGAATCATGATTGTTCAATATATGTACAAGTTCAGATTTTATATTTATTGTATTTGTGTCTTTAAATATAAAAGGGCAAGCTGAAGAGACCTGTGGGCAGCCAGCCAATCCACAGGTCAGTTTCTAATCTGAAATGAGTGTCCGAGTAAGACTCTCCTTCCCTATTCCAGGTTCAGAACTGGAGCTGAGAACAAAAGGAAGGAGTCTTTCTCCCTGTCCTTTGTCTAAATCAGTACCTGTTTTGGTGGTGGTGGGTGCTAGGGTGGACCAGGTGTAGGCTATCTGGGCAGGCTCTCTGTCCTGAGCTGTGTCCTCTAAGTACATTGTGTTTTTCTGAATCAGGATTTTACTGTGTACCCAAGTCTGGCCAATAATCTACTTCTATCTAGCAAATAAATGCTAGGATTGCTGTCACACACCACCCACACTTGACTCCCATAACTTTTCTTTCTCTCTCTCTCTTTTTTTTTTTTTTTTTTTTTTTTTGAGGTGCAGACTGGCCTCAAACTAACTTACTGTGTAGCCAAAAATGGCCTTGAACTCATTTTCTCTCTTAAAATTTTATATATACAAGTAATTTGCCTCCATGCCTTTGCACAACATATGTGTATAGTACCTGAAGAGGCCAGAAGAGGATGTTGGATCCCCTGGCACTGGAGTTTCGGGCAGTTGTAAACTTCCTTCTGTGTACTAAAGTTGGACCTGGGTCCTCTGGAAGAGCGGCCAGTGCTGTTAGCCACTGAATCTTCTCCCCAGCCCTGCCCATCTTCAGCTCCCATTTGCTGTCTCTCTGATTTACCACATATTTTAAAACCCAGCAACTTAAAAATGCTCAGAGTGGGCCGGCAAGGTGGCTCAGTGGTTAAGAATATTTGTTGCTTCTTTCCAGAGGACTCAGGTTCAATTCCCAGCACCCCACATGGTGACTCACAACCATCTGTAACTCTAGTTTCAGGGCACCCGGGGGCCCAACCCATGGTGCACACCCATACGTGTAGACAAAACACCCATACACACATAAAACACATCTAAAAAGAGAAAAAAGATTCTCAGAGAACTTGACATTAGTTGCAAACGAGCCTGGACTCTCCTTCCCCACTAAGTGATTCAATAGTCTGTTTTGCTTAGAAAGGAGAAAGAAGAAAAATGAACCACTGCTTAGATACATTGTGAGTGGATTTTTCTCCCTCTCGTGGGCTCCTGTTGCTTTGTGTTTGTGGGATGACGTGACTCACTGAAGACTTCAAAAGGCATAATGAAGGCCTTTCTAAAAATAGCACCACAAGTGCTCTGACCTTGGGGGAAGCCTGGGAACAGAAGCGGGAAGTGGCAAGTGTCACACAGCTTAGCACCTGAGAGGACCTCTGGAGGCCATCTTTCCAGCCATGCCCAGAGGAACATAGGTATTATCCTTTGCTCATCAAAGATACTGTTTGACAGCACAAGGAACCACACAGCTCACTCCAGCCCCCTGCCTCCTGAGTGCTCTTTATATCTTGTCATGTGAATTTTTAGTATAGGGAAAAGTTTTTATTACTTGGGTTGTACCTTGCTAGAGAATATTTTAGTGCTCCCCCACCCACTTTGGCTAATTTGGGGGAAAGGAACCAAAGGACATATAATACAGGTGCTGGAAAAGTAAGTGTTTTAGTTCATCCGGGCTGCTGTAGTTAAAATGCCGTAAACTGGGTAGCTAATTAGCAACAGAAATTTATCTTTCCAAGTTCTGCAGGCTGGGAAGTCCCAAGAAGGTGAGGGCAGATGTGAGTCTGGTGAGGACATGATCTTGGTTCACGGATGACACTGACCCTGTCTTCTTCACATGGGAGCAGGGTGTGAGCAAGAGCAGGGCCAGCTCTTGCAGGCTTTGTCCTAGGTCACTCACCCTTAGGTGGGCTTCGCCCCTTCTTGCTGTCACACTGCAGGTTAGCTTTCAGCGGGAATTGGCCACAACAAAGGGAAAGACGGAGCTAGTGTTCTGTGTTAAGGGGCAGTTCTCAGGGAGTTTCTCTTGCATCGTTACACTGGAAGCCCTTTGCACCGGAAGGCATTTGCTCTACTCAGCGTACCTTGTGCTCACCCGGTCCTGCATTCTGCCTCATTTCCCCAGGTGACAGGTGGCATTGTGTCTTTGCAGGAAGAAAAGGAGAAGGTGCAAGCTCAGAAGGAGGAGGTTCTCAGCCATGTGAACGACGTGCTGGAGAATGAGCTGCAGTGTATCATATGCTCCGAGTACTTCATTGAGTTAAGTATGCACGGTGGCTGGCCCCCGCCTCACACGGTTCACCAGCCTTCCAGGCTGCTGCTGCTACAGGGAGTCACGCTGGAGGGAATTTTGTTTAGAAACCTAGAGCTGTTTGATCTCAAGGTGACATCAGAAGGTGGCCACTCCTCATTGCATCATGCCGTCTTCACTGTGCTTTTTCTCTTCTTGGATGTTTACTTAGCACAGTTGAAGTATTGGGATAAAGCTGACCACTAACGCTGTCCTTTCTTTGCTCTGGATGGGCACACTGCTCAGTGTGGACTTGTAGTGTGTCCTTTGGAATGCCATTGATTGTGTGGTTACTGTGGGGCATTCAGGGGCCAGAGTGCATATTTCAGGGCTTTGAGGATCCTTTTGAAAATGAAGCATCTCTCTCCTAGGCTACCATTTGTCACGTCGTCACCAGCTTTTAGTTTTCATTAATTTCTAGCATTTGTAACCAATTCATTTTATACTGCTGTCAAATGGCAGGGCTTCAGATAGCTTTGGAAAGGAAAACACACGTACAGAGGAGTCGTGTTCTGAGGCAATCTCCAGGATGTTGGAGGTGTTAGCCTTTGTGGAATCTCCCAGGAGAAGTGTCTGTGCCTGTGGATTCACACTGACTATAGGTCATCGGTTTCTGCAGTTTCCAGTCTGGTGATTCCCTGCTGGGGAGAAACTCAGCATTGCTCAGGACTCTGGAAACTAGCAGAAGATAAGAAAGGGAGATAGGAAAGGGTGGGGAGTGGGCATCTTTTTGTTTGTTTGTTTGTTTTTTCAAGACAGCCCTGTCTATCCTGGAACTCACTCTGTAAACCAGGCTGGCCTCAAACTCAGCCTACTTCTGCCTCCCGAGCGCTGGGATTAAAGGCATGCGTTCCTACTGAGAGCATTTTTGTAAGATGGGGCTGGTGAGCTTTCCTTTTGGCCTTGCAGATTTGCTCCTATTCTGGCTTTGAGAAAGTAGAGTGTCAAGTGTCCTTGTGTGTCCCTTTCACACTGCAGGCTGTCACCCTGAACTGCGCCCACAGTTTCTGCTCCTTCTGTATCAGTGAATGGATGAAACGGAAACTAGAGTGTCCCATTTGTCGAAAGGATATTGAGTCCAAAACCCACTCCCTGGTTCTAGACAATTGCATTAATAAGATGGTGGATAATCTGAGCTCAGAAGTGAAAGAACACCGGAGTGTCCTTCTCAGGGAACGGAAAGGTAAGTGGATTTTGAGAGTTCCTCCTCAACAAAGGACTTAATTATTTCTGAACCCCATTAGGTATTTTTAAGGGGTGAGTTGGGGATTATAATGTAGTCAGTGATTTTTGAATTAAGGACAGGCAGGAGGAAAGGAAGTGTAAAGGGAGTTGGACTGAACTAGACCTAGCCTCTGGAGTTTGAGCATCAAGAGGTAGGAAGCTTAATGTGTGTATACCCTGGTCCTTGGAGGGCGGTAAAAGAAAGCTGTGACTCGAAAACACAGTCAGATGGCTTGCCATATGGACCACCAGATGGTGCTGTTGCTGAAGACAGCTTGGTTCTGCCACTTGAGTTGACATATTATAAATAAGATGTGTGTAAGTTGGAGTCGCGGCTTGGAGAATACCTGGGAAACACGTACCAGCTCTGTTTGTAAGAGCCATGGCTTACGGCCCGGGTAGCTCAGCAGTTCTTCCCCAGTATGTGCAAAGCCCTGGGTTCCTCCCAGTACTGTTCCGTGTGCACACGCCTGTTCTGTCCTGGTGGGTCTCCGGTTAGAAGACTTTGGTGGAAAGATTGGAGAAGGGATCTTCATTTATTTAAGTCAGTGGTTCTCAACCTTCCTAATGCTGTGACCCTTTAATACAGTTCCTCATGTTGTAGTGACCCCCAACCATAGAATAATTATTTTCTATGCTACTTCATAACTGCAGTTTTTTACTGTTGTGGATAATGCAAACTTCTGTATTTTCCAATAGCCTCTTGGGGTCGTGACCCACAGGTTGAGAACCACTGATTTAAGTGATAGTGCCACACACAGGCTTGCCGTGTCAAGGCCTACAGAGAGCCACTTCTTTTTTTTCTTTTAATATTTTTTTTTTTAAAGTGGTCACCAGATCTCATTCAAGGTGGTTGTGAGCCACCATGTGGTTGCTGGGAATTGAACCCAGGACCTTTGGAAGAACAGTCCAGTGCTCTTAACCACTGAACCATCTCTCCAGCCCAAGAGAGAGCCACTTGTTTTGGTGGTGTTGCGGCAGAAGAGACTCTTAGAGCAAAGCAAGGAAGCTGCTGGGTAGGATGTGTCGATTATTGAGCAGAGGCGTATGGCTATCCTGTTCCATCACTACCTTCTGAGAGTTGGGAATTGAGGAGCTGCTGTCCATACTCCCACCCCGCCACTGTGTGTGGCTTGGCGGTACTCCAAGCGATGCTGGGCAGCCTCAAAGGCCTGATACTGTCAACAAGAACTGGGTGTTCTGTTTGTAGCTTTCTTCTCTCCTGGCCCTACTGCAGGTGTCAAGTATTTCAAGTAGGGACAGGAGTCTGCTGCTGACTGGTGGGGCAGCTGTGCTGTGGAACTAACTTGGCAGGCAGCCAGCGCATCATAGGACTGGCAGTGTGGAAGCTGATCGGGAAGCCTGGGTTAGCCAGTCGCTGTCCAGGAAGGGGCTCTTGGTTGCTTCCTTGATACCTGCTGGAGTATTCTGTGCCCAGTGTATAGAGCTCCCACAAATTTTACCTCTGCCCTTGATTCTGGCAGAGCTGCATTGCTCTCCATTTCCGCCTTGTCACTCCATAGGAGCGTTACGCTAGCCCTGGTGTGGAGAACAGTGCCCACCCTGAGTGCTCACTCTCAGCGCTCACCGGCCAGCTGGAGGGACACAAAGGCAAGGAGACCCTGTGTGGCTTCACAGGGAGGACTGCTCCTCCTGGCCTGGGCAGGTGGACATGAGAGGATCCTGTAAAGGAAGTGATGTTTGGACCAAGCTTCATGGCTTCCTGGAGGACATGGACTACAACTTGCAGAACAGCCAAGACCTGGAGGGTGGGCTGGCTGGCTGGCGGGCTGGTGGGCTGGTGGGCGGGCTGGCGGGCGGGCAGGTGGGAAGCTTGTTTTTTGTCATCTTGCTTCCCTTCCAGAGAGGAACACTGTCTGGAGCCAGATTCAATCAGGATCAGGTTATGACCTTTGAACTGGCATGTGCTGACTGTGTCAGGGAGGGGACACCTATGAGAGTGCAGTTTGCCCATCGAGTGCCATGTTGTTCTCATCAGTCCACTCTCAGCTGGCTGTTAGAAGAGCCCACGTCCCAAGTTCACCTCCGTCTCCTCTAATGTAGAGGCACTTGTATAGAGTAGATACCCCAGTTCCCCTCCCATTCTCTGCAGAGGCTAACCAGGCCACTCCTGGGCCTCTTTGGCAAGAGTGGCGACCACACAGGAAACAGGTCCCTGTCACGTACACTGTCACAGCACTTCTGGCAGCAAGTGCAACACTGAGGTTTTCTCTAGACAGACAGAAGGTTCTGAGACTTGATTTAGGGAAAGCCGTGCCAGAGCCATCAGCCTCTCTGATGGGCTATAGTGTGGGGGTTAGAGAAAATTCTAAATTAAAATGCCAGCTCTCTTTGAATGTGCCATTTGAAAAGCTGGTTTAGTCCATAGTGCATGGGGAAGTTTTAAAAAGAAATTAGGATCGGGCTGCAGTAATGGCTCAGTGGTCAAGAGTACTGGCTGCCCTTCTAGAGGTCCTGAGTTCAAATCCCAGAATCTATGTGACAGCTCACTGTAACCCCAGTCCAAAGGGATCTGACACCTCAGGCACCAGCTACACACAAACATACATGTAGACAAAACACTCATACACATAAATAAAACAAAATACATAAAAATCCAAGCGTAGGCCCTGGAAAGTGGTGAGCGTTTGGTTGTCTGCTGTGCAGATGCCCCGTGTTCTCACTTTACCAGGAGAGGTGCCCTTCTAAGCCTCCCTGACAGGTGGGCATCCCCAAATTCTGGGTCTTAGTGGGAATCACTCCTCCCCACTGAGAAGCCTGAGGAGAGGAGGGGGGCCTTAGGAAGTTGGATGCCTTGAAGCCAGGGTAGATAACATCTATCTACTCAGGTGTTTGTACGAGGGGCCATTGTGGTTGTGTGCACTATTGACACAGGCAGGGAGCGGGTGAAGGGAGAGAAGGAACTTTCTATGTCCTGTTTTGTTTTTTGAGACAGGGTTTCTCTGTAGCCCTGGCTGTCCTGGAACTCACTCTGTAGACCAGGCTGGCCTGGAACTCAGAGATGCTCCTGTCTCTGCCTCTGTCTCTGGCATTAAAGGTGAGCGGCAGGAACATTCTTGTGTCGGATACTTTCCCTCCCCTTTTCTTCTGCTCTCATGAGGTTAATTAGCCGATGGCTGTTCACACTTTGATCTCCCTGTCAGTTCTTCCTCCTCCTCTTCTGTCCTGGTTCTGTGGTGGTTGTGGGGGTAGGTTTGAGACAGTCTTACTCTGCAGGCCAGGATGGAACTCAAAGCTGTCCTCTGGGAACCTTCCAGTGTTGGGATCCTAGGCCTAAACCACGGTTCCTTGCCTCCCTGGAGTTTCTGAAAAGAAAGAAGCAGGGCTAGAGAGGTAGCCAGATGGTGGGAGAGGCAGACAGTAGACAGACCCAAAATAGCTGGAGGTAAAGTTTTGTTTTCAACTCTGGTTTCTTCAGATTGCAGTCTCCCAATCCCTTGCTTGTTGTGATGCTAATCTGAAGCTCCTAACGGGAGTGTGTGGTAGAGAGAGGCACTGGGAATCTGTGAGGTGTGGGCTGTTGAGAGCCACCAAGCTGTGACTTCAGCCACCTCAGTCAGCTAAGAGGAAGGTGGTCCAGAAGAACTGGCAGGGTCCTGGGCCCTGCAGAGGTCTGTCTGCTCCTCTGGAAACCGTTCTGATGTCGCCCATCTCCTTCCTTTGTGGGGGGTGATAGCACCTAGCAAATAAATTTTAGACAGCAGGTACTTGTGTGACTCAGCCCTGTCCTCAGAGATGGTGGTTCACATGAAGCCAGCGTGTGGCTGTTGTCTGCGGGAGTATGTTTGCCTAAGGTTGCACCCGGAGAATGCACAGTGCCACACTTGGGTTATTTGTTTATTGAGGCAGAGTCTGCTGTGCAGACCAAGCTAACCTCAAACTCAAAGAGATCTGCGTGCTTCTGCCTCTGCCTCTGCCTCCCTAGTGCCACCATGCCTAGCTATAAGTTTTTGATTTTTAAGACTGTCACGGGCTAGCAATGAATGGCCACCACTAGAATTATTCCTCTTGTTTCTCCATTACTGCCCCCTCCCCTTTCTGTCTTCTGTTGTTCTTTTCCTCACCGTGTTTGTTTCCCTTTCCATCCTTAATTGGTAATCCAGAATACAGTTTGAGACTACAAGAGAGGAGGGAGATGGCTGTTGGTAAAGTGCTTACCAGCATGGGGACCTGAGTTTGATTCATGAGCCACTTAAAAAACTGAACCTGGTGGCACCTAAAACTCCAATGTTGGGGTAGTGGGGACAGGTGTGTTCTTGGGACTTGCTGGGAGCTTCCTCAGTAGACCTCAGGCCATAAGGAGAGACAATCTCAGGAAACTAGGTGGACCCTAAGGCTGGCCAGCCAACCCAGTTTCGGGCACAGAGTCGTGCATGCACCCATACAGAGAAATGACAGTGGCATTGAAGGAACTGTCGAGAAGGGCCACCCTATTAGTGGTGGTCAGCTCTGGGCTTAATCGGACTATATGAAGTAGTGAGCCATCAAGTCCTAGTCCCTTGGACCTATCGAGTCTATGCCCTGTGATTGCCGAAGCTGCCTTCTTCCGGGAGGTATAAAGTTGTTCCCTGACTTAGCTCTGTCGTGAGATGTCTTTGCCATATCACCAGAAACTGCTGGCTGTAACACCCAGGATGAGAATAGCTTTCCCAAGTGCTGGCACTCCCTCTCCGTCACACCCAGAAGCACAGTCAGCTGTGTTTGGGAGAACCGTGCTGTGCTCAAAGACAGGTCCTGGGCCGCCCTCGAATACCTGTCCACCTCACATTTAAATATTATACCTCACATGGTCTAGTGCTGGAGAGGTGCTGGCTTTCCCGAGCCTGTCAGTCTTGAAGGTGAAGACCCGCTGTCCCAGGTGGGATCCTCTTACTGCTGGAGGCTGCTGGGGCAGTGCCATCAGCTCACAGCCCAGCTTCAACCAGGACCAAGCTTCAAGCTGTGACATGAGCTGGCTTGCTTTCTCCCTCCCTCTGGTGGTGTGGAGAAAAAGTGAAGGAGGCAGAGATGGAAGGGGGATATGAGGGGGTGAAGCCCGGGCTCCTCCTTCATGTATCTGTCTTTCTCTCCAAAGCAAAGAGACTGTCATGAAGGTCATGCTCCAAGGACATGGGAGAGACTCTAGGGGGATGGCACCTTGGAGTGGTCTAGAGGATTCCCTGGATTCCCTCAGGCCGCTCCGGACATCATCTGGGAAGCCGTGTGCTGCCGCAGAGACTGAGCAGGCCTTGCGTTGTGCCGGCCCTCCTGACACCACCGTCTCGTGTCACTGGGACTCCACACTGACTGCTTCACTACATGATAAATGAGTTGAGTTCTGTTGTTTCTTAATTTGTTGATTATTTTTGATACCTCATGCCCTCCTGTTGATGTCTTCTTGGACTGCCCTGAAGGCGGCTTGCATTTTGAGTCTGGTTTACCTTTTCTTTGTGAAAACAAGATGTCATTTCTTGGAAATAAAATGTAAAACCCGCCATTTGCTCAGCTGGGCTCCAGTGTATTTGCCTTCCCCTGCTTCCGACTCCCAGACAGTCTCCCAGGTAAACACTGGCAGCTCATAGACTGCAGCCAGGAAGAGTGGCTGCCCAAAATAGACTGCCAGCAAGCGTCAGCTCAAGTTCATGGCCAACCTGGTGGGCCTTGGGTACCCTGTTTTCATTCTGGGGGTGTCCTTTCTTTCCCTGTTGGGGGAGCTCTTTCATGCAGCTGCCATTCAGAGGGTGTTTGCAGCTCTCTTCCTCAGCTTCATGAACAAGCAGTTACTTAAACCAGAGCTCGACACAGCCTTCTCTTTATTTAAAAGGTGAGGTTTGTTTTGTTTTGCCTTGCCTGGCATCTTTTCCCATACTTTTTTTTTTTTTTTTTTAAACCCATTGAGACAGTTTCATGTGGCCCAGGCTGGCCCCAAACTGTGTGTGACTGAGGGAGGGAGACCTTGCCCTTTGTCTCCTCCTCCCTCTGCCGCCTCAGTGCTGAGGTCACACCTGTGTGCCAGTTTATGGGTCACCAGTGTTACCTGAGATGAGAACGAGGGGGAAGGAAGCCTGTTCCTGTAGTGGGGGTGCCAAACTGTTACATCATGTAGTGACTTGATTCCCATCTGCCCGGAGAACCATTCTTTGAAAATTCTTTGTGTAGGAGGTCAGAGTGCACATGCGTTGAGTGTGTATTCCAGAGGCCAGCCTAAGTTGTCCTTGTTTTTTAATTAGTTTTGAGACAAGGTCCCTATATAACCCTGCTGTCCTAGAACTCACTCTGTAGACCAGGCTGGCCTTGAACTCACAGAGATCTGCCTGCCTCTGCCTCCCGGGTGCTGGGATTAGAGGCGTGTGCCATCAACGCCCAGCTGCTGCTGCTTTTTTTTTTGGAATGCTCTGTTTTTAAAAGACAAAAATTAACCTAAGCTTCCATCCCCCGCCACCTCCGAGCCCCAGAATGTTCTTTCCCTGGAGAGATGACCAATACTAAACATCACATGCATCTTGCTTGCTTAGAAGGCAGCCAGCTCTCCTGCCCTGTGGTGTTAGCACTGCCGAGTGCAGCCACCACTGTGCGGTCCTCTAGTTAAACTCCACCAGCATGCTGAGAAACCGGGCGAATTTATGGAGCAGACAAATGTAGCCAGCCGTGCAGTTTCCCGTATCTACCTGGGCTATGATAGCGTAGAAAAGGCTCACTCACCCTGCCCTTTGGCTTGCCTCGTCCCAGCAACAGACTGTCAAGGCAGGAGACTGTGCCCTTTGTGGGCTTCGTAGCTGGACATCTATCATCTGGTTTTCTGATTGGAAGCTACTATTATTAAAACAACAAAACCCTCAGATTCCCTCATTAGTTGGAGTCTCTCTTCACTATCTTTTCTCCTCCTCTGTGAGTGACCATCAGTCACGTAACTACAGTCACCATGACCCCAGGAGTCACCATAACTACAGGAGTGCTTAGACTGGACAGCTGTCTCCCAACTGCTCATTTGCTTTTCATAGCCTTCGTCTGCACCTAGACTGTCCACCCCTCATCTGAGGATAAGCCAGAAGTGCCCAGCGCCCAAAATCAAGAGGATCTCTAACTCCCATTGTGGTCTTCCTCTAAAAAGCTCAGATGAGGCGGCCCTGGGAATCTCCCGCCCACAACTACAGTCTTGTTAGGAGGCGTGGGGCCAGAACTGCGTGGCATGCTACCCCTGACCACAGCAGGGCGATGCCTTGTTCTGAGTACTCTTGAGCTTCACTCAGAGGGAAAAAGCTTACTTTGCTAAATTTTACTTTAATGAATTTTCTCTTATTTACTTTGCAAATGGGAGTTGCAGTAGGAGTGGGTGGATGGGAAAAAAACTCCAGCTCAGCCAGTTCTTGAATGCAGAGAAGCCTGCTTATCGTAGTGACAGCCTGGGCTTCCGAGAGATGCTCAGCGGACACTCCGATGGCGTGTTTGACCGTCATAGAACCCACGGGCCATCCCTCCAGGATGGGCCCCCTGAGCTCAGGTAGTCTCCAGAAGGTATTTCCTGCTTGCTGATGTTCTGTCAAATTCTGGAGTCTTACCTCGGATCCCATGTTTAGCCCAGTATCCCTGCTGCTTAGCTAGCTTTGAGTGCTGTGGGTGCCTGAAACTGGCCTGTTTTTTCTTTTGTTATATAATGGTTTTCTAATAAATGCAATTCAGTTATAGTCGCTGAATTCTTACTTTCACGTGTGTGTGTGTGTGTGTGTGTGTGTGTGTGTGTGTGGGTGTGTGTGTGTATTCACTCGACTTTGTGCCACCTGCTTGCAGGAGCCTAAGAAGGCCAGAGGAGGGTGTCAGATGGCCTGGAACTGGAGTCACAGGCAGTTGTTAACTGCAGTGTGGGAGCTGGGAACTGAATCTGGGTCCTCTGTAAAAGCCATAAGCCAAGCCGGGCTGTGGGGGCTCCCAACCCTAGGGAGGTGGAGGCAGGCAGATTTCTTGAGATTGATGACTTTGGCTACCTCCGCCCAGTTTAGTTACTGCAGTCTTGAAACACGTGGTAATGGTGGGTTGGTGGGGCAGGCTCATTCTACAGGCTTTCAATGGACCTA